ATTTATTTTCATGATCTATTTGTAATTATGACCTTCTTGTCTGTGCCTTTCATTACTTTTTGTTTTCAGTCCATGAATGACAAAGGCAAGGAACATTCTTGCAGCATACCCCTGTCTTACACAAGCAAGCCAGATTATTTATTCCTTGCAACGTTGCTTCTCCTTGAAGTACTGAATCCCTCCTGAAATATAGCTATTTAACTGCTGATATCCTGCCTAGAGGCCATTCACCAAACGTAAATTTGGCCAGTGAGAATCATAGAATCCCTGCAGTACAGACGAGGCCATTCGGACCATTGAGTATGCACCGACACGCCGAAGAGTGCCCTACCCAGACCCACCCCAAGCATTTTCCATGGTCAGTCTACCAAACCTATACATCGTTGGACTGTGGGAGGAAATCAGAACACCCAGAAAATAAAATCTAGAGCTTCATATTAGGAAGGAAACCAGCATTGCTGGAGTTTAAACTCCAGAAAAGACAGCATCTTCCAACTTGGCAAATATTCACATGGAACTGAATGCCTGAAAACTTCCCGATTAGGTACGGTATTCATTTAACCAAAGCATTGAGTGGCTGTTCAGATTTGACATTATCAGTAAGGCAGAAAATAATTGCCAAAAATGTTTCAGTTGGTCAACTGACTGACAAGTAGCATTATCACCAGAAGAAAGCTTTGAAGAAATCAGGGGCTGTGAAGCAGGAGATATGGTTGAAGTAGGTGGCAAAATGTTTCACTTGCTCGTGTGTAATGAAGCTGTATGTTCTGCTCCAATGGGAGGAGTAAATGTGGTCAAGGCTGGTTAAATGCCAGGAATTCATAACAGCTTGCCACCTGTACTGTTCGGTTTGACAATGTGTGAAAGAGTAAGCTGTGATCATTTGGCAGCACAGTGCAAATCTGCTTGAAGTAATCCAATGCAGGCTCATTCCTTACAGTCAGTTTACTCTGTAAAGCCACTACATTTACCAGTGAATTTGCAACTGCTTGAAATTTTATGTATAGGTAATAAATTTGTTTTGCCTGCAATTGATGATTAAATCGCTTAAATCAGAGTAATATGAAGCTGAAGTGGTTACATCAAACAATATTGAAATGGTCATGAGGAGAGGGAGGGTACTCACTGGTGCATTATTGCAATGCCTAATTGCAAAATAAATTCTTGTGTTCTTGACTTTCAATTTTATACAAAAGAATCTAAAAAAAAGAGGCAGAAAATTATTACTGAAATGAGGGAATAAAGTTGAATGCCTGCAGCTTCTTTTGTTTCAGAATAATATTGAAATTGTTTGAACAGTTGTATAATTTATTATTATCATATTATTTTACAATGTAGGAAGGATGACTATATCAAATTGTGAATATTCTGTGTGGCATTTATCAATTGAACACTTAAGATGAAAGATATATTAAAACAATCTCCAGTGCAGAGATTCAGTAATGCCTCCATTTCCTGGCACTTGGTGGTCTTTAACTGCAAAGGTACAATGCTTACTAGACATTCCATTCTAGGAGACTAGCACTGCCAAGGGATTGTGAGACTTAGGGATTTAAGTCTCTGAATGCAGACTGTCAGTGCTGGTTACTGCCTTGTGAAGGACGTTTCCTTATTCTGTGAAGGGACCATTGGAGTTTCATTATATTAACATACTAAAAGATTACAAATCCTCTGTCATGATCTCGTGTGTGTATACAATTGCAATAAAGTATTAGAAATCAGCGCAGGATTATAACGTTATCCACTCTTTAAGGGGAGTTGGTGGTCTAGTGGTAATGTCATTGAATTAGCGATCCATAACCCCAGACCAATGCTGTAGGGGTGTGAGTTCAAATCACCACCATGACAAGTTGAAAAACTTGGATTCAGTGAGAAGCTAGCCTAATGGTACCCTTCCTTCCTGATATGTTAAGCATTTTAAAAAAATGAATCCCACTCTAATAAAACTATAGAGGCAATGGTGTAGTGGTGTTATCACTGGTCTACTCTTCCAGGAAGTATAGTGAACTGGGTTCAAATCCCACCACAGCAGATGGTGGAATTTAAATTCAGTAAAACTCTGGAATTGATTACCACTAATCATTGTAAAAACCCCTCTGGCACACTAATGTCCTTTAGCGAAGGGAATCAGTCATCCTTACCTGGCCTAGCCTATATTACCGTGTCTGAAAATGCTGTCTGAGATTTTTTAAAATTTTCCCGTTCTCCCTATGTGTGCTAAAGAAGTTTAACCTTCTTACCACGGCCACTATTTGCTGAAACAGGAGTTCCTACTTATAGGATGAAAGTTAATCAACGTGTCACAGTTTAATGCATTAATACATTAAAATATATTTGCCTACAATGGAGGAACTTCAATCACCTCCAAACTGGAATTATTCAAAATATGTTAGTGACAGCTCGGTTAATACTAACATTTGAATAATTGTATTGATTGGAACCAGGTTGACCTTGTTGATTATTTGGTCATTGATTGGCACAGGTTAACAACCCCAGTCCCTGGCTGACCAATATAACCAGGAGATGACAATCTCCTAAGTTCAGGGACTGACTCCGAGCTGCCTGGCCACAGCCAGTCTACTGTGCACAAGTAAATAAAGGGTGACTCGTTGTTGGGATACCAGCCTCTGTGCAGTTATTTCAATAATTGACAAGTAACAACAGTTTGACTCATTCAAATTTCCCCACAAAATTGCAATATCTTGTGTATTAATAATTTAATGCCCCCCATTTATTAGATGTAACAATTTGAATGAACTCTTTCTAGTTTCATTTTCATTTTCAAAATCTTGAAATAATTTAATGCAACAAATGGCCATGTAGAATAACGGATGCTGAAGAAGCAGTACAGTTGCGCGGTACCAATAGATAACAATTTGCTTTCCTACTCTTAGTCAGGGATTTACCTCAAAAATGTTTCACATTTAAGACAGTAAAGCCATGAATGCTAAGCATGAAGGAAACATTTAAAAACAATGTGTGTTGGTTCAGAAACGAGACGCACAATAAATAAATGCAATTTAAGGAGGATTTTAAAAGCAGACGAGATGGAAAGAACTGAACAGTGGGGCAGGTCTGTAGCAACTAAATTAGGGGCTGTCAGTAATGAAGAACTGAAAAGCAGAAAGAAGCTTGGTATCAGAGGAGTGGAGGGAGCATACAGGATTTGAAAAATAAACCAAAACCATCTCTCCAGAATTTTCCATAATGTCGAGAGAGAGAGAAAGCCGATCCTAGCACTCTGACCCAACCCATCTGCCCCACTCATCTCCAGACTCTACTCCTCAGGATGGTTAGCTCTTTAAGGATGGGGCCTTGCTGAATTTCTATCGAAAACCAAGTTTCTGAGTGGCAGACAGAGAGGGGAGAGCCTCGCTTTAACTTTGTGCAAGTGAATAGGATTTTGACGAGTCTGCGGCCCCATCTAACCCCAGGCAAATGTCAGCAGCAGAAAATTCCTGAGATCTATAGCCCACTTACAAGACTGAGAGTAAAGGCTGAATTTGACTGGAAAATTACATCTCTTACAATTAGATTGAGAGTATTGGCATGACTGTTTCATTTATGTTTAGCACAGTTAGGTATAGTATATCATTTCCTACATTCTGCCACAAAATCAGGAAATCATTTTCTATTCGTCATGCAAGATCTGTTGCTTCTTTGAGCCAGGTTATCACTCTAGGAAAAAAGGAATGAATCTGCATTGATATAGTGCCTATCTGGAGAACATCACAATTGATTACTTAACAGGACAGTGACTCTGTTGCAATCATCCGCACAGAACAAGACATCACAAGTATCAAATTAATAAAAGGCCAGATCACCAAAGTTCCTGCTTATTTTTAAAGGCTAAATATTTTTTCCGGGAATTTGCGGTGTTACCAACACAGCTGACATTGAATACAATTTAGAATGTTTAGTGCAAATAAATGTCAAGGATTGATCAACTACTAGAATTTGGCAGCCAGATTTAGTATTCTAAATTGAGTATCTGTAGGCCAGCTTTCTGTATTTCTGCTGCTAGAGAGAGACTATCATCCCATTAAACATTCAAATAAAATCTGAAACAAAAGCAGGGAGTGATGCCGAGAAAAAACAGCAGGTCTGCTAGCATCCAGAGAGAAACACAGTTCAGATTTTGAGTTGGATATGACTTCTTCAAAATTGAAAGGGATTAGAAAATGGTGTTTTTTTTTATTGTCTGGAGAGAGGAGGACTGAGTGGAAGAGGTGCCCAGGCAAAAGACAAAGGGATTGTTAATCGTGGTGAAGGAGGTAGTGGAGATGTAAAATGGGTGTAAATTAAAATGTGAAAAGGAAAAAATATGCCCGCGACACTGAGAGCAAAGTCAACATCATAGAAACAAGACACGACTACATATGTGTGGAATGTAAAAAGAAATGGAGGGCTTACATGTATGAGTTATTTTGGGATCAAAACACTGCACAGATGCTGCCAAACCTACTCAGTTTCTCTAACACTTCTTGTTGCTATCATCCTATTGAACTAGGTATTATTCAAATTCAGGTACAAGAAGTAAAGGACTGTTTTAATGAAGAAAGGGTACCAGATTTTTAAAGATAAAGTGGCCATTGATCCCTGGTACACTATGTCTTGATTTTAAAATTCCCATCCTTGTTTACAAATTCCTTCATTATCTCATTCTCCCCTGTTTGCAGATGTTTCCAGCATGTAATCCACAAAGATCTCTGTGCACCACTGGTGGGCATAACTTTAGCTGCTGGGTCTCAGTTTGTGGTATTCCATAAAGCTCACTGCCCTTTCATCTGTCTTGTTTTACTTTAAGCCTCTTTTAAAATCTATCTCTTCAGCCAAGGTATTGGTTCTGTGACCAAAGATCATCTGCGTGGCTCAGTGTCATTTTTTCCCCTGATAATGCTCGTATTAAGTGTTTGGGCCTTTACACTATGTTAGAGGCACCAACAATTACAAGTGTTGTTGCACAGTTAACTAACTATGAATATTCTGTTTCCTTTTAGAGATTGAGGCCAAGGAGGCATGTGATTGGCTGCGGGCTGCAGGCTTCCCCCAGTATGCCCAGCTGTATGAAGGTGAGGTAATATGTACCATAGTTAATATTGAAAATAACGTGCAACATTTGAGTAAAATTGTGCATCAGATCAATTTTTTCAGTCTTGTGATAGCTTTTACATGTATGCTTTAAAGACACTTGAAGCTTCTCCTTTTACACCACATTTCCTCTACTTTAATTCACTTAAACCACAACTGTTGCTATACATTGATAGCAATTATTTTATTGCCTAGGGGATATTTCTGAAGCTTGCTTTTAATCAGCCTTTTCAACAAGCCAGTTCATCAAAAAGTTTGCATTTTACATTGTGATATTCCAGATGTTTAAAGATGTATAAAGTAATAGAAGTGAAAATATTAAAGGTACATATTTTAAAAAAACCTGCTTTAAATTAAGCTTTGTACCTCTAAAGTATATTCTTGACCAATTATGGGAAAGAAAAGTATGTAAAAAAAAAATGGGTGAGGCGTATCAGGATCACTTATGGTGGCTTCCACCTCTGAAAACTCTCACTAGTTGGAATCGCATATGAACAATGTGCCAGAGAAACTATACCTTTACAAGATAGCAATGCTTCAGGAGAAGGGAACAAAAATGACAAAAATATTTTTCATACCCATTTTCCTCAGGAATTACAAGACTTGGTGATTGGTTATGTCAATGAAACTGATTTAACAGAAACATATTTTTAACAAGTTGTTAATGTGCTTTTTTATAAACACTCATAACTCATGCTGGAAAACAATTCAGTTATTACAGAAAGATTAAGCTAGTTTTGTTGCTTTAGAATATTCCTTTTGGCAGAAAACTATGATTTCTGTTTTCCTTACGTGATTTGTTCCTTGTGTCTATTGTTATCATTCAGTCTTTCTAACTCGCTAAGTGAGTTTAAGAGATCTATACTGGATGGAAAGTGATCCCATAATAAGTGTAAATTTATCTTGCACAATTATGGATCCTAAGGCAAGTAAACTCCACTGGGAATAGTTTTCACTTAATTTCTCCATACCACAATAAAATTAAAACATATACAGCACTGCACTGATTCTTGATCAGCGGTATCAAATTGTATTTAATGACACTGAATTAATAAGCTGAGGTCCTGAGTTCAAATCTTGCTCAAATCTTGTCAAATCAAATGAACTGCAAAAGTAAATCGGATAAGTCTGATAATAATGGCCAATTGAAAGGCCATGAAGTGGATGAACCAGAAAGACTGAGGATTTTCAGACCCTTTGCTTGTGCTGGATCAGATCTGCCCTACTGATGACTTTCAGCTTTCTAATTATAATAGCAAGTAGTTTATCTCTACTTCTTGCCCTTTCTGTAGGTGAATTCCTTAGATTTAAAATCCACATATTATCATATAAACAAGTATTTTCATGAAAACGAGACAATGATATTCTGCTTATGTTTAAGCAGAATTTATTCTACTTATCCTGGGGCGAGCAGATGGTTACTTTTTCCTTGTTTCGTAGTCCAAGAAATTTACTATAGAAAGCTGTCTCTACTTCGTGTAAATTACTTTTTGTAACACACTTTCCATTTGCCTTGATTATGCAATAGATTCTCTGTTCCCCATTGACATTTCTTCAGTGAAGAGGGACCATGATTTTCTGGATCGAGATGCAATTGAATCTCTTTGCAGGTAGGTATTGGTTGTTTTACGAACCCAAACCCCTACTCAGTCCACTGTCCATGGCAAAGTGTTCTTGCCTAACTTGAAAACAGTTTACTTATTTGTGGCAATTCATGTGTGAAGACTTTCAATGACGCCACAAATATATTTTACTCCTTAAAATGTTAACTGCACTAACCAAAGTCATTGATTGGACAGTCAATATAATATTCAAATATCCGCATTTTGGAAAAATCAGTAGGCTGAGAGGTGTTGAAGATAAAAACAGAAAATATTGCAAATAGTAGGTCTGGCAATATCTGTGGGGAGAGAAACAGAGTTAATGATTAATATCAAATATGATTTCCCCAGAACTCAAAGGAAGCTTCTACGTGTCCTTTATAACACAGGTGCTGCTTCATTATGTGCTGTGTATTTTCATGGTGAGTTAATGTGTCATAAAAGTGTATATCTGACTCTGTATTAACAGTCATACCTAGATTCTACATGTTACTGCCCTTCCCGATTGAAGAACACTACATGGTTTAACATATACAATTATGAAAACTTTTTTGAAACATTATTTCATATTATCAGTTAGAATTTCTGTATTAGGCTGAAACTCATTTAACAATTAAGAGTTAAAATGGAAGAGATCCGTTTGGAGAAGCATTTTACATAGTTGTTACCTATCAGACCCCACATCTCCACTGCCATCACCCATCAAGTTAGGCCTCCGACCTGATAAGTGAAATCTAACATTTAATCTCTTCCTCGCCCCACAGACTGCTGTGTACACAGCCAATAGAGTGCGGATATTTAAACTATTGATGTCTCTTGATCTGTAGCCAGGAATAAAAAGATTGTCGATCCGTGGTGATTATATGGAGCCAGCCACTAACCAGAAAAGTTGATAGCTGATGTTCTTAGAATGGCTGTCTGGTGAGCTGGTAAATTTCAGGAATATGTAGGGTCTATCAAGCCAGTCCCACTAGTTTCAGTGAAGCTCCAGAAATGTGGGAGAGATTAAACTTAATGTCTCACATCAGGAGTTTATAAAATAGACAGAAGAATAATCTGGAGAAATAATTTGTATTGAAACCACTCCACTCCCAAAACACATGCACCTTAATAATAGTCTGACATAATTTCAGAATATCACTTAATGGCAAGAACCTTTCTATTGCTGTCAAAAGATTTTACAAATTAACTGGAACACTTTTGAATTAATGATTCTGTCAACAGATTGATCAAACAAATCCCAACGATAAAGCACTGAGATACTTTGTAACATTTATAAGAGAAATTGATACATTCGATAAGGGATTACATTTTCACATGTGTTGCTCACCTGGCTTTCAGAGAAATGTGACTCGTCTGTGCTGTACATTTTGTTTTATTTACCTTCCTGCCTCCATCGCTGTAGACTCTTGGCTTATCTGTCGCAGCTGACAGAAGGTTTGTGAGAATGTCAAAGCACAGAAAAATGTTTGAATTATCAAAGACATTCTTATCAGGCAGGCTGTTCATTTTTTTGTTTCCCACATCAAAGTAACCAGGGCTCCAAAGGAGCATGATTGCACAATGCAAGGAGCCAGTGGATGTAAGTCAGGAAAAAGCAGCTACTTCTTGTTTTTATTATGTAAGACAACCTTAGTTCCCTTGTAAAGATTGCTAGCGATGGTGAACATTGAACATTCTGATCCTCATCTGAAGTAAGAACTAGATTCAGAAGTAAATAAATTAGAATGCAGCCAGAAATCACATGTAAAATCTGAAAGGTTACTGTCAGAGACACTTGATAGTGTGATGATCCACAACAGGCCTAATGTCTGGAAATAGATCATATGTAATTATTTCAATCTGACATGAGATGACTTAGAACTGCAATACAATGTTCTTTGGTGTGCCTGAAACTTACAAAGAGTTGTCCATGACCCAGTGCTGCAGACTAGTGCAATCCAAGGTCCAAGACTAGTTGAGAGACCCACTAAAATTTGAGGAAGCTGCTGTGAAGGTGCAATTGGGAAAGGCCATTGTCTAAGGGTCTTCAGCAGCTGGAAGCTATGAAAATTCCATGTGATTCCATGTTCAACATATAATGAGCATGGTTAATATTAAATATAGTTATAAACATAGTAAGTAAAATACAGTGTTGGAAAATTTGTGTAACGTCAACTTAATGTGATGCACTTTTAAAGATTAGATAAATAAAATACATTTTAATGTTAAAAAAAGCTGTAGTAGAATAGAAAGAAAGCTGTGCACAAGGACAATAGGGAAAGGTGGATTGACACAACTTTTGGATGCACAGTGGAGATGGTTATTGAGAAATCAAGGCAAAGGGTCAACACTCATTGTGCATGACTCTACGAATGTTGAAAAGAGAAAGACAAGACAACATAAACCAAGAAGTATTAATTACAGAGACAACAAGGTGCAGGGCTGGATGAACACAGCAGGCCAAGCAGCATCATAGGAGCAGAAAGGCTGACGTTTCGGGCCTAGACCCTTCATCAGAAAAGGGGGAGGGGAAGGGGGTTCTGAAATAAATAGAGAGAGAGTGGGAGGCTGATAGAAGATGGGTAGAGGAGAGGATAGGTGGAGAGGAAACAAACAGGTCGAAGAGGCGGGGATGGAGCCAGTAAAGATGAGTGTAGGTGGGGAGTTAGGGAGGGGATAGGTCAGTCCAGGGAGGACGGA